GGCTCTCACTTTTAATCGTTCAACCAGAGAAAAAGTCTTTAACCATTTTAGGATCCTTGAAGAGGGTAAAAACAAGTGACTGTTTCCTCTGCAGATCTCAGAGCAGCGGTGACATCACTGCAGGCTTGGATGACTCCAACAGCGAGTTCAGTGATGGTAAAATCAAACGGAACATAAGAATGTAGTCACTTGATTAGAAGAGAATTCTCTGTTTCAGTATTCATGGTAGAGAAAGATCTCTTTGGTCCAGGGACAGAAAAAAAAAGAACAGAACAGAGTCATACAGAGGGATACAAGGGAAAGGAGAGAATCCAGAATCTTGACAAAAAAAAACAGGGTCATAACTGTGGGGGCAGAATCTTACATGTCATAGGAGAAGGCAAGAGATGTTGGTCAGGAGGCAGCAACATCATTAATGTCCAGGAAACTCTATGAGGTCTGGTATTGGCAAGAAAAGGTGAGGAACTCATGGGGCACAAACAGGTGATTTGGCAGAGAAAGAAATCAGGACAAGGCTTTTCAATAATCTGGGCTTGTCATTTAGGTTGGTGCTTCTTCAACTAGTTTGGTGCATCTGTAACTCAAGGTATTTATTCAAGTATTGGACCAGGTGCAAGTATTGGACCAGATGTTTGGTTGGTTGAACGCCAACCAAACATCTGACCACCATGCCTCTAGATGAGATACAGTCTCCCACAGCACCAGGCATGTCTTCCCCGCAATGCCCCCAGTTAACCACATTGTTGAACCCGGCACCCACAGCCAAGGCAGGCCAAGCCAACATGGCTTCTCAGCCATGTGAGCGTAAGGTTTTCAGACACCCTAGTGACCCACTCACCTGACTGGGTGCAAGTCTAAGACAGGGAGGCCAAGGGGCAGAAGCGCAGGCAGCCAGGCAGACCATCACCACAAGCTGAGAGGGATTAGAGGACGCTCATCTTACACCCCAAACTGCAGCCAGACAAGCCCCCATAAAGCAAAGTCAACACAACCCATTGCATTAGGGTGCATACCCTTACTTAAAAAATTGCTGATTTTTTTTTTTTTTTTCTGTATATGCATTAAGTCTTCTTTGGTAGGAGTCTTTCAGCATCCTTCATCCTCTTGTTTCAGTGACTAAACAGATGTAAAATATTTAGTTTGGATTTTCCATCCGATAGAAAGGTCTTTTGATCAGCTGTGTAGAAATTAAAGTAGGTTGTTTTCATGTGTACAAACACAACAATGTACTCGATATAGGTGGATCTTTAAGTTTTGCTTCTAGCCTGAGCAGCTTCAAATGCATAGTTGTTTTATTTTTTGCCATGTTGTACAATGTTCAATCAAAAATTGTATACTTCTTCAGATCAATACATTTTTATTTTAAGATCTATTGACAGATATGCAAACTTTGGCAAAAGCTAAAGGATGAAAAATAAAATTGCAGAGAAAATCCTACAAGGACTTCTAAACGTTCTGAAGTTTCTGTTTAATAAAATTTACTTTGATTTTTTAGAAAGAAACAATCATAAGAGTAGCTTTAACAAAATGTAAGGTTTTGTTCTTTTTTCCACATACAAGTTTATAATTGGAGCTATATAAAATAAATGATTTAGGCTATATATGATTCATAATTTGTCTTAGATTTCCACATCACTAAAACCTGAAATGAGCTATACTTTGTCTGTACTTTGTACGCTATAGATACGAGTAACAATCAAAGGTCAAACACCAAACAATCAGTTTTTATGTTTCCAAAAAGACAACCAAGGTGTTCAACAATGTGGGATACTAGTTTTCTGATTGTTCAACTACAGAAAAGTACATTAAAACCAGGATTTCTATGTTTCTGTAAACTGTAATTTTGTGACATATAAACCCTAGAGTTGCTTTAAAAACATGTTTTACAAATAATAGGTTTTAAAGCAACTCTGGGTTTTACAAGGAATGAAAAGCTAGGTCTTTAGCATACCGTAGAAATCTCAATTACCTTAAAAGACACCATTATACCTTTATTTACAAATTACATGATCTTAACAGGGTTCAAAAAGCCCTTTACATATTCAAATAAAGAAATACAGTAAAAATAATTGAAATAATTTAAACATGTTAAAAATAGAGTCAACCTCTGGAAACATTTACAGGTAGCCAGTAGATTAAATGGGTAAAATGTACTTTTTGAGCGAGTTACAAGATGCACAGCAGCATTGTACAATACCTATAGAAAACAAATGGACATAGAAAAAAATAATCCACATTGTGTAGAGCAAGTTTTCTTAACACTGGTCCTCAGGGCCCACAAAAGATGATCGATATGCTTTTGCAGCATTTAATGTCTGCTGAGGGGGTAGTGCAAATGTATGGAAGTCCGTTTCCGCCACTCTGTAAAAAAATAAAATAAAATTATCTCATTTTAATGAGATACTAACTCAATATAATGAGATACTATCTCATTATAATGAGATAGTAACTCAATATAATGAGATGCTAACTCCATATAATGAGATGCTAACTCCATATAATGAGATGCTAACTCAATATAATGAAATACGATCTCATTATAATGAGATGCTATCTCAATATAATGAGATACTGTAATAACTCAATATAATGAGTTACCATCTCATTATATTGAGATACTACAGTATCTCATTATATTGAAATACTATCTCATTATAATGAGATGCTAACTCAATATAATGAGATACTGTAGTAACTCAATATAATGAGTTACCATCTCATTATATTGAGATACTATCTCATTATAATGAGAAAGTAACTCAATATAATGAGATAGTAACTCAATATAATGAGATGCTAACTCCATATAATGAGATGGTAACTCAGTATAATGAAATACTATCTCATTATAATGAGATACTGTAGTAACTCAATATAATGAGATGGTAACTCATTATATTGAGATACTACAGTATCTCAATATATTGAAATACTATCTCATTATATTGAGATGCTAACTCAATATAATGAGATACTGTAGTAACTCAATATAATGAGTTACCATCTCATTATATTGAGATAGTAAATCAATATAATGAGATAGTAGCCCATTATATTGAGATACTGCAGTATCTCATTATATTGAGTTAGCATCTCATTATAATGAGATAGTATTTCAATATAATGAGATAGTATCCCAATTATATTGAGTTACTACAGTATCTCATTATATTGAGATAGCATCTCATCATAATGAGATAATTTTGTTTTCTTTTTTTACAGAGTGGTGGAAACAGTCTTCCATACAATGTGCTTGAATAGAGACACATTTAAAACATGAAGGACGTTGGACCCTGAGGACCAGGGTTATAGTAAAAAACCCTGGTATAGACAATAATAGGCACAAATAAAACAGGACCAAGAAAACCCTGCGGAACTCCATTAAGTAACCAAAGACAACCCAAGGCTTGATTCTGCAAAGGACATTTTCTAAAATATAATTTCAAAGTTTTGCCTCCTAAATATTCTAATGTAAAAGGCTGAACTTTTATTACTAAAATGTTGGATTGTCCTACACAAAACTATTTTGAGACTTAAAAAAAGAGTTAATCTAGTCGATAAAAATGTATAGGAAATGTAAACAAATACAAACTGACATTTGTCTAAAAACTCTATAAGAGCCTTAATATTTTAAGACAAGATATGAGAGATATGTCACCAATTTCTGTTAGATAACTATTGGTTAATTACGAAATATATGTTTGTAAATGTTGAAGAATTGGCATTAAAGACTGCTACAACTAATCAAGAAGTTCTAAAAGCCTAAATAAATATGTATATTTCCAAATACAATGTTGTTTAATACATCCACTGAGTAACAGCTTGTATTTAACGACCTGAGCTTCGGTGTATTGTGTCAAGTGAAGCTCCATCTGGCCCACAGTAACAGCAGAGTGGCTGCATACACAGCTAAAACCAGCATGTAAAGGTGAAACAGCACGCGGTCAAGCCTTAAGCAGAGCGACAGCCATTCAGCCTGAGCTGACGCATCGCTGTCATCCTGGGAAAAAGCTATCCGAAGGGAAACCAGCTCTTGAAGAAGCCGCTCCAGTCCAGAGGGAGGGTCCGGGATGTCATTTAGTGACAGAAGATCTTCCTCCATGGAGCTTTCAAGCTCAAAGTCTATGGAAACAAGAGAAGAATATGGTTTAACAAGCAGTTATTAACGATTCAATTTAAACACATGCAACATAAATGCAGAAAATGACAGGAATTTTGTTTCCTTCAGTTCTTTCCAATAAAAACATAACATTTCCCCGGGGTTTGTTGACGTCACATTTCTTTAGTTAAGACATAAAGGTTTCAGATATATCAGATATCCTGCTGATTGGTGATTGGTTTTCAGCTTATTGCATACCTCCAGGTGTGTTGATGTTGTCAAGGGTTTTGATGGAGGTGAAAGCACTTTCAGGAAGGCTGTGGCCAGCTGGGCCGTACTTGTCCAGCAGGCAGGCAGACAATGACATTTCCTTGACCTCCTTCTCGCTGTGATGGAGCAGCTTCACCACCAATATTGACTTGATTAGACTGAGCATCAGCATGGCCATGCACACCACGAAAAACACGCCTGAAAGGAGATCAGATCAGAATGGCTCCCTGTTATTTTACTCAGTGGATAAATTATCTGTAAGAGGCAAAGATGAGTGTCCCTGGTTTACCAGAAGCTTTCAAACAATTTCCTCTTTTTATTCACACAATTTGACTTCACTCCTTCAACCGAAAGTTAAGGCAAAATTTGATTGTTTTGAACCATTGAACGATTAATTTATGACTAGACTAGTTTCTTGATTTGCTCTTGAAAAATTGCTGAAATTTCTATATATTTTTTTCTTAAATAGGTGTTTCTTGTTTAATTTAAACACTTTATTTCAAAGAAAGGAAAAAATATTCTAGGCCTTTGGCTTTTAAAAATGTTATTCATTGTTCAAACAGAAATATACACTCACCGGCCACTTTATTAGGTACACCGACTGCTCGTTAACACTTAATTTCTAAGCAGCCAATCACATGGCGGCAACTCAGTGCATTTAGGCATGTAGACATGGACAAGACAATCTCCTGCAGTTCAAAGCGAGCATCAGTATGGGGAAGAAAGGTGATTTGAGTGACTTTGAACGTGGCATGATTGTTGGTGCCAGAAGGGCTGGTCTGAGTATTTCAGATACTGCTGATCTACTGGGATTTTCACGCACAACCATCTCTAGGGTTTACAGAGAATGGTCCGAAAAAGAAAAAACATCCAGTGAGCGGCAGTTCTGTGGGCAGAAATGCCTTGTTGATGCCAGAGGTCAGAGGAGAATGGCCAGACTGGTTGGAGCTGATAGAAGGGCAACAGTGACTCAAATAACCACCCGTTACAACCAAGGTGGGCAGAAGAGCATCTCTGAACGCACAGTACGTTGAACTTTGAGGCAGATGGGCTACAGCAGCAGAAGACCACACCGGGTGCCACTCCTTTCAGCTAAGAACAGGAAACTGAGGCTATAATTTGCACAAGCTCATCGAAATTGGACAATAGAAGATTGGAAAAACGTTGCCTGGTCTGATGAGTCTCGATTTCTGCTGCGACATTCGGATGGTAGGGTCAGAATTTGGCGTCTACAACATGAAAGCATGGATCCATCCTGCCTTGTATCAACGGTTCAGGCTGGTGGTGGTGGTGTCATGGTGTGGGGAATATTTTCTTGGCACTCTTTGGGCCCCTTGGTACCAATTGAGCATCGTTGCAACGCCACAGCCTACCTGAGTATTGTTGCTGACCATGTCCATCCCTTTATGACCACAATGTACCCAACTTCTGATGGCTACTTTCAGCAGGATAATGCGCCATGTCATAAAGCTGGAATCATCTCAGACTGGTTTGTTGAACATGACAATGAGTTCACTGTACTCAAATGGCCTCCACAGTCACCAGATCTCAATCCAATAGAGCATCTTCTGGATATGGTGGAACGGGAGATTCGCATCATGGATGTGCAGCCGACAAATCTGCGGCAACTGTGTGATGCCATGATGTCAATATGGACCAAACTCCCTGAGGAATGCTTCCAGCACCTTGTTGAATCTATGCCACGAAGAATTGAGGCAGTTCTGAAGGCAAAAGGGGGTCCAACCCGTTACTAGCATGGGGTACCTAATAAAGTGGCCGGTGAGTGTACATTTGCTATTTCTCTTTTTTGAGTATTTTACTTTTCTGCTTTTCTATTTCATAATAAAAACGTTTAAGTATTTCAGATTTATAACTCCATATTTTTTTTTCTATTTTTATATCACATTTGCATTTGTAAAACTAGAATATTTAGTTTTTTTTGCATGTAATTCCTCTTTTATGTTGCAATGTATGTAATTTTTGGTATCAATAATCTTTCCTTGAACGTGTATTTTTTTCCTTTTTTACATTTGTTGTTTTTTATGTTGTTGGCTGGATTTCTAAATGTTCTCAAGTCTTTAATACCTGTGTTTTAGAATCAGAAACACAGGTACAAAAGACCAATAAGCTTAATTACCATAGAGAGAAAAAACTAAATTTCAAGGATTTTAAAGGAACATAATACTATAAAAACAACACAAACGAGTCAGTCAGATATATACACAAATAACTCTAAATGGAGAATAAACTGTTTTTCTCAGCATTGGATCACATTTACCAATGAGAGGAGTCCTGACAGCAGAAGAAGGCAGTTCATCAGTCAGGTTGACCCTGAAGACGGTGTATCCCAGCAGGATGCTGATTTTAAAAGCAATCCTTGTACCGCTGTTCAGAGGCAGGTAGAAGCTCACGATGTCCACTGACATGAGGAAGATGCTGGGAATGAGGAGGCCAACCACATACAGCAGGGGGCGTCGGCGGATTAGCAGCTGGACAGACGATAAATCCTCACATTGTTTAAACAGTTCTATCTTGAGTCTGTACTTCAACTTCACTATAGCAGCATTTGAAATATTCAGCTCAAGAGAAACATATTACCAGTTATTTCCAATCAAACAAATCTCACAGTGATGCACATCTTTTTTGAAATTTCAAAGTGAGCTACAAGTTAAAAGGTCATATAAAGCAGAAAAAACAGTAATATTTGTAATAGTTGTACTGATTAGCTTTAAATCAGGATATTTTGCTCTGATTTTCATGTTACAATGTTTGCAGAAGTCTGTCTTTCTGCCAGCAGAAGAGATTGTGATAAACCAAGAGTTAATAAGAAAGACTGTAAAGTAGGAGTATTAGTCTCCTTTGCTTCTCCTAAAGAAACTACTTGAATAAAAGTGGTAATCTTGTTGGTACAAGCAGGGTCCTGGCAGTACAGAGGTTAGTTTGGTTTGGGATGGTTCATAACTGGTAAAGCCAGAGAAATGATTGTAAAATGGCTTTTTTCTATATTTCCTCAAGTTGGTTTTTAATTTCATACTGAGGTTGTATTTTAAAGCAACACTGTGGTTTACAAAGAAACACACAACTAATGTGTTCTTCACTTCTGCCTCATTCTATCTCTATTCTCGCACTCTGCAGAATCTGTTAGTTCAATCTCTAACGTTCTGCTCTCTCTGCTTTTCCTCAGAGTAGCTTCATCTGGTCTGTTCCTGTTTGGCTGTGACTCCATCCTGGAGAGAAATATCAGCTGTGCTGCTGCCATCAACACCTTTGTTTATAGATGCTGAAGATCAGCCTGTTTTCCAGTGTAGTCCTGTTTCTCTGACCGTGACTGGCTAGATGTGCTCTCTTCATCCTCTGACATGGGAGCAGGGTCGGAGCTCGTCTGCC